AAATGACATTTCGATTTTGTGATACTTTCTGATCAACATAATGTTTTAGATATAAATTTATGGGATTCTAACACACAAGACGCATATATGAACTAAAACGAGGATAGTTAAGAATTAGGTTCATCTCTCTCTGTTGCATTGAGTCAATTAAATTACCGTTTAATTACAGAAATTTGTAGAAGAGTAGCACCAACGTTACTTAACTTTAAGCGAAGTTTAAAATTTTTTCTGTTTTGCTTTAAAGCAAAAAATAGACAGAGACATAGAGAAATTTAAGCTTTGTTTAAAGTCAAAGTCACATTGATGCAACCTGGTCTAAGGAACACAAATTATATGGATCTTTCTATCAAAGTTGAGAGATAACTCATTATCTGTAACGAACAGTGAGTCAATTTTTAGTAAATTGTAACTAACTTTTTTTTCCACTTATATTTCTGTAACTTACTTAAGTTACATTTATTTGTAATAACTAAATTAACGGGTATTTTATATAGTGTTTTATACTAATCAATATAAACGTAGTTTTTTAATGTATTTATTTCTCTTTGTAATTTTAACCTTTTTTTACATTTATATTTATGTTAAAAAATCAAACGGCTATTTTAAAAGTTTTTAGTTTTAAAATGCATTTTGTTTTTATTTTGGAAAATTTTTTTTTTGAAAATAAAATGAATGACATTAATAAAATTTTGATTAAATAATCGGCGAAGTTACATTGTTAGGAAAACGCTCAAAATAATACTTTATGTTATGTTATACAAGTTATACAAAATGAGATTTGCAGAAGTAGAAAAAGTTTATATTTGCGTAAGGTTAATTTAATTTCGCAACCGCGTCAAGTCAGTTATCAATAAATGTACATGTTTTATATATCGTTAGTTATTTTATACATAATAATAAATTATTCTTGTTCAAGGAGGTCGAAGATTTCATCGGAGAATAAATAGTCATCCAAATTAGATAATTTTACACATTCTGCCAAGTCTGAATCGGAAAGACTCTTCATAATACGATCCACAAAATTTGAAGCTCTGTGCGAATCTGTGTTGAAATAAAATGTTACAAAAATCTGATAAAGTGGTAAAATATTTTGCATTTATTATTATAATTATATATTAGGTACTCGGCAATATAATACAACGGTACATGATAACATTATTTACGACTTTTAAATAAGAAAACAAATTTAAACTCTTCTATTTATGCTATTTAATTATATTTTTTGTAGTAATTGTCTACAAAAATATAAATATAAACTGTTTTTTTTTGTTTAATGTCTTCAACATTTCTTAAGCCTTTCCTATTTATCGTACGCAAACTGTTTAATTTGTGTGCATTCAAAGTATTTACTTTAATACATACTCAGCGTGTTAATATTTCCAAAATTTTGATTACGGAAGTATTATTATTATAATTCTATTATTTCATAGCATAATATAACATAACGTAACAATTGTAATAATATAACAAGATTGGAAAAATAATTTATGTTTACCGGACAAGGGCAACACTACTGTAATTTTGACCACTAAAGACTACTTAGACAAAATGCATGATATACTCTCTGACAATAACACTTATAGATTGATTAATAAAGACCCTACTAATAAATTGACCACAGGAATACGATCTCTTTTAACATGCTGGAAATCGAAGAGCTTTATTGATTAATATGTATATAAAAAATTGTATATTTCGGATGGGGATCTACCGAGATCCTATGGGCTGCCTAAAATACATAAGAAGGGCATCCCGATGATTATCAGCTGCATCAACAATCCTCTTTATAATTTGGCTGTTTTCTTGAAAGAAATCATTGACCAAAGTGTTAATAACAAGAAAAATTTCGGTTACATTAAAAACAGCTTTGAGTTGGTTAAGAAAATTAATGGTCTACCTTTGCGGGATGGTTATCGAATGGTTTCGTTTGACATTTCGTCTATGTACTCCAACATTCCGAACGATTTGGCATTAAGGAGTGTTTTAACCAGATGGGACTTGATGGAGAAGAATACTTCTATCCCTTTTCAAGAGTTTAAAAGAGCCATCTCTATCATTTTGAATTCCACCTTTTTCAAGTTTAATGACGAATCTTACGAACAGATTTTTGGTTTGCCCATGGGATTACCTCTTTCGCCAATTTTGGCTGACTTGGTAATTCAAGACTTGGAGAACGAAATTTTTAATACTCTCACTACGCACATACCTTTTTATTTTCGTTATGTTGATGATATCGTGCTTGCGGCTCCTATTAATCTTATTACCAACATTTTAGATTCCTTCAATTCGTACCACGAGCGCATTAAATTTACTATGGATTATGGCGATGACAGGGGTATCAACTTTTTAGATGTCAAACTGTTGAGCGATAATGGTAGAATTATTTTCGACTTGTACAAAAAGCCTACCAACTCTGGAAGATTTCTCAATTTCTTCTCCAATCACCCTACCATACACAAGAAAGATGTTGTGATTGGGTTATTGGACAAAATTCTATTTCTTTCCAAAATTCCATCGCATTAACATCAATTCTCTAATTATCACTCTCCTTCGCAATGGATATCCGTTACAGTTTTTAATAAAAACGTTATCAAGAAAAAAGAATTTTGATACCATAAATGAACATAATGTTAACACTAATACGGACATTTTTATTGTAAAGAACAAATTTTTCACTATTCCTTACTTAAAGAAAACGTCTGAGAAATTCAATGCAACTCTAGATAAATTTCAATTGAATTGGTATACAAACCTATGAACAACTTGAACAGTTTTATAAAAACGGGGAAAGATAAGATAAAAAAAGATGAACTTTCGAATGTGATAACCAAATTAATTGTTAGGACTGCGATTATTCGTACGTCGGTCAGACGAAAAGGAAACTAAAGACGCGTTTAAAAGAACACATTAATGTGACTTAAAAAAACCAGCTAATTCTTACTCCGTTATCTCAAATCACAGATTTGACACAGACCATGTGATGGATTGGGATAACGCAAAAATATTGGATTCGGAACGCTCTCATCATACAAATGATTAGAAAAGGAATAAAGAAATTTCGAACTAACATAAAATTATATAGGAGAGCCCATGTAAAATAGACTGGGTAAAGCGAATACCTTCTTTTTTGCTTATCTATCTGAGATTATGCTATGAGTCTTTAGCAGTTGAAGGACTGATCGACCAGCGACGCTATGAAAGTACGAAACAAAATATGATTGCATTTGTTTGTGTTTAATAGGAACATATAGAAAATTGAGTGTTTTCTTGCAATTTTTTTTTTAGGTATGTAGCTTAATTATTATTTCTAAATATTCCTTAACCAGTGAATGATTTATTATAAGAATTCTGTATCTTTAAACGTATATTCGAGGTTAAAATATTTTACTTGGTGCTTCAACTTATTCTAACTTTTCAAATTCGCGCCAGATAGGTTCTTTGGGCATAGCAGGGGGAGCAAAGCGAATGATCCATTTTACATATTTACTCGGTACATGATTACATAAAAAATACTAGGAAGACGGAAGAACAGACGATCTTTCGAGTGAACGAAAAAACACGTGTTTGTTTGAATCTTATTTTTGTTTATTATTTGCCAGAATACAGTATGATAATTTGTTTGTGACTGATCTAGTGCAGTCATTGCACTAAATGGGCCCATGAAAATTACGTAGATTTGATAGCTACTTTTGTGACAATTGCCAAGATCAATTTTTTAAATTTTATTTGCATTGCACAAATAATTCATTTGCTTTGCCCAGAAAGGTCAAGCAAAGCGGATGATTTCTCTTTTTTTGTTTTAACTAAAACGACATATTAATATTCAAGTTTTTAAATTTTTTTTAATATTATTTTAAAGCTAAGTATTTTAATAGATTTATGAGAATGAAAATAATTTCTGATTTCAATTTTAATTGTGTCATTTTTTTATTTAAATCTTAACATGTCTTTTTTATTGCGGAACGTACTAAAGACTACGATCCCAGAAAACATTTTGAATTTCGGGAATGTTGTAAAAACGTTGTAATATTGAAATAAAAATAATTTTTATAGAAAAAGTTGTATAAATTATGGCTATTTATTTTTGCCTACATGTATACACGCGCATGCACACATGCTCGCATTCACGCACGCACGCACGCAGCACGTATGTACGCCCATACACACTCACATACAAAAATACACAAACATATATATGTGCATAATTTATGTATGTGCATAATAAATTAAAATTTTAATAAAGATATACATAGAGGGCGTATTTGAAAATACGCCCATTAATCACATTCCTAATAAAAAGTGAATAAAAAATGTATTGTATCATTTTGCAATTTATGTAATATTTTTTTTGTTATTTAATGAGAAAATGTCTAAAATCGACAACTTTATAATATTTTTACAAGGCAATTTTAAAATATTTTTAAAGAGCTTTTCAAGAAACAACTACAAAATGTTTCACAAAGAATACTAAAAGATATCTTAAAATTATCATATTCATCGATTTTGTCCATTTTATCTTTAGAAATTAATATCTCGTTAACTATTTCGAAAATTGCAAAATAGTAGAGGACACTTTGACTCAGCTTTTTAATTAGGAATAGTACTACACGATTAGTGGGCGTTATTTTTGATACCTTGTATATAATATAAATATGTATATACACATATATATATATATGTACGAATAAATGCATTTATAAATCATATTAATCGACACACATCACAAATTTATTTAATAAATTGTTCGTTTAGTAAATACCAAGAGTATTTGCGTAACATACTTTTTATCTGACATTGATTATTTAACTACTATCATTTTTGCAGAATGTTAATTAATGTTTTTAATTTATCTAGATACTTACATAAGAAATTGTTTGAAGTGTAGTGTTAAACGACTTATAAATTTGGATCCAATTGTTGCATTACATAGTAATTCATAATATAGTAATCATACTTTTATTCATAATATAGTATTCATAGTAATTTCTTCTCTTCTTCTGTTAATATGTCTGGATGTGCCTTCACTTCAAGTGTTTATGTAAAATAGCTAAGGATGTATATCCAATTTTGCATTGCAATAATTGCATCTTGTCTGATTATTACTTAATAATTCTGTATAATGTCTACATATTTAATTAGGAACTGGGATAAAATTGTCTGTCTTTAGTGTCATATCCTCATTTGCAGGCATGTCATTATCTGAATTGCTTTCGTTATCTACATAATCCGAATTTGAACCCAATATCCTACATTTACATATAAAATTATTTAAACAGCAATACAAATTACAGTAAATTAAGAGTATTATTTTCAGTTATGTTTATTTTCCGTTATACAGACTAAATTATAAATTTTTAGAATTTATTATTTGAACATTTATGTGTAATCAAGAATGTAGCGAACAAGCAAATTTAAATATTCCATAAATCTGATAAATATCGGATTAAAACTAAATGCATCAATATTATAAAATTTTATTCTTTCGGCATTTATGTTTTATTGGATTACACAATGTCTGATAGATTAAAATTCTTATTTCTTGTTTTCTATTCTTTTGATAGCGCGCAGCATCAATACACATATATTAAATATTTGATTAAAATTACTAATTTGTGTGTATGTTATATCAGTATTTCAGTATTCAAATTTTGAATATTTTTATTCATTATACAATTATAATGCTTCAAAGATTATAATGTAATTCCTATTTGACGACATGACCAAAAACCTGTCTAATAAATATTTTAATTGGTTTAATACATTTTTTTAGCTTGATTAATAAATCTATTTAAATTTATTTGAATATATTTGTCTGCGTTACATTTTCTTTAGTTAACATTGATTATTTTACTACTTTAATTTTATATTTTTGAATACGTTAATTTATTTTTAATTTACTTGACGTATACTTACTTGTGACGTTTTAAATGTTTTTTGAGATTAGCTGTTGAACGGTACTTAATAGTTAAGTCACATTGTTTGCATATTGCCTGTGTATCGCTTTCTGCGATAAAATAATCCCAAGTCCAATGGAATTTATCTTCTTTCTTTTCTTTTTCTGTTAATATGTATGGATGTGTTTTCACCAAGTGTTTATGAAAAGTATCTAATCTATTATGTATAATGAATTTTGCATTACAATGTTTACATCTTGCTTTATTACTTGTTAATTTTGTATAATGTTCACATATCCAAGAACGAACTGGGATAAAATTGTCTATCTTTTGAGTTATGTCCTCATTAGCAGTCATGTCATTATCTGAATTGCTGTCGTTATCTGTACAATCGGAATTTGGACCCAATATCCTACATTTACATAAAAAGTTATTAAAATGTAAAGCTATTATTGTCAATTATGTTTATCTTCCGCTATACTGATTAAATTATGATTTTTTTAGAATCAATTATTCGAATATTTAAGAGTGATAAAGAATGTAGCGATCAAGCAAATTTATATATTCTGTAAATCTTATAATTATAGGGCATAAATTAGAATGTTTCAATATTACTAATTTTTTATATTATACACACAGTGATAATAAATTTAAAACATTCAGTTTGTATTCTGTGTAACTTAAATGAATACTAATTAGTTTTGTAAGGAATTGCAATTAAAGAGATATAGATCGAGAAACTGAAAATTAAAATTTTAATCTTTCGGAATACATGTCTTATTAGACTTTACAGTGTCTGATAGATGAAAATTCTGATCATCTGTTCCCTATTTCTTTGATTACGCGCAGAATCAATACACATATATCAAATATTTGATTAAGATTTTTAATTTGTATGTCCGTTATAACAGTAAATTTAGAATATTTTTATTTATTGTACGATTATAATGCTTAGAAATGCAATTCATATTTGACGACATGCATCAAAAACCTGCCTAATAAATTTTTTAATTGGTTTAATAAATTTTTTTAGCTTGTTTAATAAATCTATTTAGTTTTATTTGAGTATATTTGTCTGCGTTACATTTTCTTTAGTTAACATTGATTATTTTACTACTTTATTTTTATATTTTTCAGTACGTTAATTAATTTGTTAATTTACTTGGAGTATACTTACTTGTGATGTTTTAAATGACTTTTGAGATTAGTTATTGAATAGTACTTAATAGTTAAGGCACATTGCTTGCATTTTGCCTGTGTATTGCTTTCTGCGATAAAATAATCCCAAGTCCAATGGAATTTATCTTCTTTCTTCTCTTCTTCTATTAATATGTCTGGATGTGTTTTCACCAAGTGTTTATGTAAAAAATCTAAGAATTGATTCTTATGTATAGTGAATTTTTTACTACAATGATTACATTTTGTCTTATTACTACTTGTCAATTTTGTATAATGTCCACGTATCCAACGACGAACTGGGATAAAATTGTCTGTCTTTTGAGTTATGTCCTCATTTGCAGTCATGTCAATATCTAAATTGCTGTTGTTATCTGTACAATCGGAATTTGGACCGAATATCCTACATTTACATAAAAAGTTATTAAAAAGTACAATAAAGCTATTATTGTCAATTATGTTTATCCTCCGCTATACTGATTAAATTATGATTTTTTAGAATCTATTATTGAATATTTAGGAGTGATAAAGAATGTAGCGGTCAAGCAAATTTATATATTCTGTAAATCTTATAATTATAAAGCAAAAATTAGAATGTTTCAATATTACCAATTTTTTATATTATACACAATGATAATAAATTTGAAACATTCAGTTTATATTCAATGAAACTGTGTAATTTAATGAATACTAATTAGTTTTATGAGGAATTGCGCAATTAAAGAAATAGAGATCGAGAAACTGAAAATAGAAATTTTAATCTTTCGGAATACATGTCTTATTAGATTTCACAGTGTCTGATAGATTAAAATTTTGATCATCTGTTCCCTATTACTTTGATTGCACGCAGTATCATTGCACATATATTAAATATTTTATTAAGATTTTTAATTTATGTGTATGTTATAACAGTAAATTTGGAATATTTTTATTCGTTCTACATTTATAATGTTTAGAAGTGCAAATCATATTTTACGACATATATCAAACCTGTCTAATAAATTTTTTAATTGGTTTAATAAATTTTTTTAGCTTGTTAAATAAATTTATTTAATTTTATTTGAGTATATTTGTCTGCGTTACATTTTCTTTAGTTAACATTAATTATTTTACTACTTTAATTTTATATTTTTGAATACGTTAATTTATTTTTAATTTACTTGGAGTATACTTACTTGTGACGGTTTAAATGTTTTTTGAGATTAGTTGTTGAACTGTACTTAATAGTAAAGTCACATTGTTTGCATGTTGCCTGTGTATCGCTTTCTGCAATAAAATAATCCCAAATCCAATGGAATTTATCTTCCTTCGTTTGTTCTTCTATTAATTTGTCTGAATGTCTCTTTACCAAGTGTGTATGTAGAAAAGCTAAGCTTTGATTCTTATGTATAGTGATTTTTACATTACAATGATTACATTTTGTCTCATTATTACTTGTCAATTTTGTATAATGTCCACGTATCCAACGACGAACTGGAAGAAAATTGTCTATCTTTTGAGTTATGTCCTCATTTGCAGTCATGTCATTATCTGAATTGCTGTCATTATCTATACAATCGGAATTTGGATCCAACATCCTACATTTACATAAAAGTTATTAAAAAGTACAGTAAAACTATTATTGTCAATTATGTTTATCTTTCGCTATACCGATTAAATTATGATTTTTCAGAATCTATTAATTGAATATTTAGCAGTGATCAAGAATGTAGCGATCAAGCAAATTTATATATTCTGTATATCTTATAATTATAGGGTAAAAATTAGAATGTTTCAATACTACTAATTTTTTATATTGTATACAGTGATAATAAATTTGAAACATTCAGTTTGTATTCAATGAAACTGTGTAATTTAAATGAATACTAATTAGTTTTTTAAGGAACTGCGCAATTAAGGAAATAGAGATCGAGAAACTGAAAATAGAAATTTTAATCTTTCGGAATACATGTCTTATTAGATTTCACAGTGTCTGATGGATTAAAATTCTAATCATCTGTTCCCTATTTCTTTGATTGCGCGCAGTATCAATACACATATATTAAATATTTGATTAAGATTTTTAATTTATGTGTATGTTATAACAGTTATAAAATTTGAATATTTTTATTTGTTCTATATTTATAATACTTAGAAGTGCAAAAATCATATTTGACAACATGCACCAAAAATTTGTTCAATAAATTTTTTGTTTAATAAATCTTTTCAGTTTTATTTGAGTATATTTGTTTGCGTTGTAACTTCTTTAGTTGACATTGATCAGTCTACTGCTATTAATTTTTTATTTTTCGGTACGTTAATTAATTTTTCAATTTACTTGGAGTACACCTACTTGTGATTATGTTTTAAATGTCTGTTGAGGTTAGTTACTGAATTGTTAATAGTTAAGTCACATAGTTTACATGTTGCCTCTGTATCGCTTTCTGTGATAAAATAATCCCAAGTCCAATGGAATTTATCTTCTTTCTTCTCTCCTTCTGTTAATATGTCTGAATGTGTTTTCAGCAAGTGTTTATGTAAAGTAACTAAGGATCCAATATATATAATGAAATTTGCATTACAATGGTTACATCTTGCTTTATTATTTATTAATCTTGTATAATGTTCACGTATCCAACGACGAACTGGGATAAACTTGTCTGTCTTTAGTGTTATATCCTCATTTGCAGTCATGTCATTATCTGAATTGCTTTCGTTATCTACATAATCCAAATTTGAACCTAATATCCTACATTTACATAAGAAATTATTAAAAAAGCAATAAAAATTACAGTAAATGTATTATTTTCAGTTATGTTTATTTTCCACTATACGGACTAAATTATAAATTTTTAGAATTTATTATTTGAACATTTATGTGTAACCAAAAATGTAGCAACCAAACAAATTTAAATATTCCGTAAATTTGATAACTATCAAATGAAAATTAGAATGCATTAATATTACTAATTTTTTATACTAAACACAATGACGACATGCACCAATAACTTGTTTAATAGATTTTTTAGTTTGTTTAATAAATCTTTTTAGTTTGAGTATTATTGTTTGCGTTACATTTTCTTTAGTTGACATTGAGTTTAATGTTATTAATTTTTTATTCTTTAGTTTGTTAATTAATTTTTTAATTTACTTGGAATATACCTACTTATGATTACAGTTTAAGTGATCTTTGAGATTTGTTATTGAATAGTATGTAATTGTTAAGCCACATTCTTTGCATGTTGTCTTTGTATTGCTTTTTGCGATAAAATAATCCCAAATCCAATGAAATTTATCTTTTCTTGTTTGTTCTTCTTTTAATTTATCGGAATGTGTCTTCACCAGGTGTTCATGTAAAACAGCTGAGGATTTATATTTATGGAAACTGAATTTTTCATTGCAATGGTTACATCTTATCTTATTACTTGTTAATTTTGTATAATGTCCACGTATCCTAATAGAAACTGGGATAAGATCGTTTGTTTTTCGAGATATATCCTCATTTGCAGTCATGTCATTATCTGAATTGCTGTCGTTATCTACACAATCTGAATTTGGACCCAATATCCTACATTTACATAAAAAGTTATTAAAATGTAAAGCTATTATTGTCAATTATGTTTATCCTCCGCTATACCGATTAAATTATGATTTTTTTAGAATCTATTATTTGAATATTTAGGAGTTATCAAGAATGTAGCGGTCAAGCAAATTTATATATTCTGTAAATCTTATAATTATAGGGAAAAAATTAGAATGTTTCAATATTACTAATTTTTTATATTATACACAGTGATAATGAATTTAAAACAGTTTATATTCAATAAAACTGTATTACGTAAATGAATACTAATTAGTTTTATAAGAAATTGCGCAATTAAAGAAATAAAGATCGAGAAACTGAAAATAGAAATTTTAATCTTTCGGAATTCATGTCTTATTAGATTTCATAGTGTCTGATTAAAATTTTGATCATCTGTTCCCTATTTCTTTGATTGCGCGCAGTATCAATGCACATATGTATATTAAATATTTAATTAAGATTTTTAATTTGTGTGTATGTTATAACAGTAAATTTGGAATATTTTTAATCGTTCTACATTTATAATGCTTAGGAGTGCAAATCATATTTGATGACATATATCAAAAACCTGTCTAATAAATTTTTTAAATGGTTTAATAAATTTTTTTAGCTTGTTTAATGAATCTATTTAGTTTTATTTGAGTATATTTGTCTGCGTTACATTTTCTTTAGTTAACATTGATTATTTTACTACTTTATTTTTATATTTTTGAGTACGTTAATTCATTTTTTAATTTACTTGAAGTATACATACTTGTGACATTTTAAATGATTTTTGAGATTAGTTGTTGAACGGTACTTAATAGTTAAGTCACATTGTTTGCATGTTGCCTGTGTATCGCTTGCTATAAAATAATCCCAAGTCCAATGGAATTTAACTTCTTTCGTTTGTTCTTCTTTTAATTTGTCTAAATGTTTCTCTACCAAGTGTTTATGTAAAAAAGCTAAGGATTGATTCTTATGTATAGTGAATTTTTCATTACAATGATTACATTTTGTCTCATTACTACTTGTCAATTTTGTATAATGTCCACGTATCCAACGACGAACTGGAATTAGAACATCCTCTGCTTCTTGTTCTGCCATTATAACGTTTTGTAAGGAATATTAATAATCACAAAAGGTGCGATATAAAGAATCGTCCGCGAAAACTGTTTATATGTAGATGTTTAAAGACAGAGGTATGTACATATGATTCTTTGACGGAATACATATAAATATTGATGTTTGTATTTTTGAATCTGTTTGACAAAGATTTAACAGATCTATTTATATAGCTTTCATATTATATCTAACATCTTATGTTATAGTAATATTAGCATTTTTATTTTGAAACGCTTTCTCAATCGAATTTTAATTATTTTAGACAACGCTAATTAATCCACAAAACACAACGAAACGTTAAATATGAAGTAACTGTTTATTTATAGAAGCGCAACAAGCATAACATACTTTCTAAATTTTTTGGGGGAAATATTTAATTAATTTTAAAGAAAATGAATACTTTTAATACTTGATTAAACAAAAAGTGGTTAATTTTCACAGTTTTAAAGTAATATTATATTTCTTTTTGAGTGAGATTTATTCCAAAAAAACGAAATCTCATTTTTTTTTAATAGGATTTTTTAAAACTATTTTTTAAAAAGTATTTGTTACACTACAAACTATCTACTTTTATTTATATTATTTTTTAAAATATACTAAAATTAAAAAGCTAATAAATGAAAAATTTGAAATGACATTTCGCATTTGTGATAATTTCTGTTGTGGTTAACATATATTCTTACATATAAATTTATGCGATACTCACAGACAGTAATGCATCAACGTCAATTTATCTTTAAATTTCGCTTAAAGTTAAAGTAACGTTGACGCAATTGAGCCTTATATAAACTTCTGTAATTAAACTATTGATTCAATGTAAAACTCTTTCTATCTCGTTTTAAAGCAAAAGAGAGACAGACACACAGAAAATTTTAAGTCTTATTTAAAGTCAAAGTATTATATGGAGCTTTCTATCACGATTGAAAGGTAACTCATTATGTGTAACGAAGTACAGTTAAAGTCAGTTTTCAGTAAATTGTAACTAACTTTTTTTTCCACTTATATTTCTGTAACTTACTTAAGTTACATTTATTTGTAATAACTAAGTTAACGGGTATTTCATGTAGTGTTTTTATACTAATCAATATAAATGTAGTTCTTTAATATATTTATTTTTATTTGTAATTTTCATCTTTTTTAAATTACACTTATATTTATGTTAAAAAATCAAATGGCTATTTTAAAGGTTTTTAGCCTAAAAACGCATTTTGTTCAGTAAAATTTACCTTTTTCGAAATACGTTCAGTTTAAAAATAGTAGGAAAATTTTAAATTTGCGTAAGGGTAATTTCGTTTCGAAACCGTCAATTTAGTTATCAATAAATGTACATTTTTTATACATAATCGCTAATTTTTTTATATATAATAATAAATCATTTTTGTTCAAGGAGGTCGAAGATTTCAACGGAGAATAAATCGTCATCCAATTTAAATAATTTCACACATTCTGTCAAGTCTGAATTGAAAAGACTCTTCATAATACAATTCTCAGAATTTGAAGCGCTCCGACATCCCGAACGAGGTGCATCACATGTGGATGTACGACCACGTTTAAATTCATTCACCCAATTGTATAGAGTCATAAACGCTGGTGCAGATGTGCTATGAACATTATCCAACTCGACTTTGATTTCTTTCGACGTTAAACTTTTCATGTAGATGTTTGATCACTGCACGAAACTCGTTTTTTCCATTTTGCAAAAAATACAAAGGTTGTTCGCTTTAATCGTCTACAGAAATCAAACCACACGATGAATTCCGCTCAAAATTTGACAGTAATCAGCTGAAAGATGCTACTTGTTAAAAAGTAATATGACTGCCTTCTGACAGATTTTCTAAGAATTTATCCTCGTATATATCTGCATAAAGTGTAAAATAAAACATATATTTGCGAAAAAATATGTAAAATATATATCAATATATGTAAAATTAAAAAAATATATATATACCTGC